CGGTCAGGGGTCGCAATATAGCCCGACCATAAATATGGTATATGAACGCGGTTACTGGGATCTCTCCACGGTGATCCTCATCCACATGGTGGCACTTTGTGTCATCGGGTGTTTATCGCTTGTGTGATGTCCTAGTGGGGCAAAAATCTACTAATACTATCCGTGCGGAAGTTTCTGTGGTGCACCTGGAATTATAGTCGTGTGAGTTCTGGGGGTCCATTGGGGAAGGATAGAGCCACCGCCTGTGAAAGCATGTCATAAAAGAGTTTGCTGAAATTGGATGTGTTGGGCCAAAAGGCACAGATATCGCAGCCTAGCAGTAACAAAATCGTAATCGTAATCGTGAAACCAAACAAAAATGTCAAGCGTTGTCCTCTTTCATCTACCAGAAGGCCTGCTTTATCGAGGACGGTTTCTTTGCTATCTGATTGAATTCGATTCTGTTTTGCGATCATTTTCGCCTAAGTTCGATTGTTTGCTGCTGCACATGTAACAACAGCAGTAACAAAACGTGCCAGCTGTCCTTTTATGAAGAAGCTGGTCAAACGAAGAGGTTGACTGCGGCGGGGGCATAGTTAGGTAAAGACCCAGTTCGCGCAGTGGGCATACAGCGCCCATAGAGTCAGTACCATATTGACACCAAGTAAAGTCCTGGGAAGTAAAGGGGGCCGATGTGATGATGACCACATCACCCATGGATGTCTATAAAAAAAAATTACGAGTCTAGACAACATATACCTGATGCGAGAGAAAGATAGACTTTCAGGCCTGTCGTGTAAATAGCAACGTTCTGTAAAGGACGTGCTAATTTGTGATGATGTTGATGCCACATACTATAATATGCTGCGATCGTTGTAAGAAACAACCAGCATAAGCGTTGATCTGGTCATATTTCCGTGAGACATTGGGATCACAAAACTAAACAAGCGGACGGCAGGTGTATTATAATTATTTATTCATGAAACAAGTTTTTAGCTTACCATTTTTCTACAGTGACAACACCCAATCACATATTTTATTTTGGTAGTCGTAAAGGAGTGAAGGTGGGGACAGTGTGTGTGTGTGTGTGTGAGAGAGCGAGCGAGAGAGAGAGAGAGAGAGAGAGAGAGAGAGAGAGAGAGAGAGAGAGAGAGAGAGAGAATCATTCTTCATCGCGTTCACCGGCTGTAAACTCTGGCGAAAAGTTTTAGTTGTTCTTCCACTTCAGGACTTATTCCTGTTTCAAAACCAGAGAGCTGCGTGCACAATCAGTCGACTCTTACGACATGCTTTTGGGTAGGCAGGGGGTCTACTCTTGTTTTTCTCACAAAAGAAACCCCAGAACCCACACGGGGAAGAGAGTGAATGAAAGTGTGTGTGAGAAAGAGAAAGACAGGGATAGAGGTTACCATACTCCACAGCGAAATCTTATTCATATGCATGTATCTCATTTTCTCTGATGTAGCAGTCTTAACGTCGGCTCTGTGGTTAAGTCGATGCGAACGCTTCGTAATGCCGGGTTCAATCCCAGCTGCGGGCCATGAGCCTGGCGTTGGTTTCGACAGTGGTATCAAGAAAGCCGACCGTCCAGTAAGCAATGGCAAACTACTGGGCGTAAATTTGCCTAAAAACCACACAACAGCTAGGGGCTGCTGGGGTTGGTACTGCAACGTCATGTAAAGGATACGCAACTAACCTTAGCAGTCTTAACCATTTTGGCCAAAGAAGATGCCATTTAAACTCATTTGATCCTGTTATTAATTTGACCAACAAATGCTTTTGGTCGGATGCAGGCTTTTTTTTTTTTTTTAGCACGATGAGGGATAAGGATTGAAGCAACAACTGGGTGAAAGTTTCATTTGGATAAGCGACACAGAACAATATACGACCACAGATAATATGTGATATTGGAATGACTTAATCAGGGGCATCGCAACCTAGAGGTTCAGGAATTGTGAGGCCCCCTCCCTTTCCCAATAACTGACAGCGAGAATTGAGCAATCGAAATGTTTTGAAAGAGCTTAAAACCATAGAAGCCTTTAGTACCCCCTCACCCCATTATTAGGGCGCTTAACACCCACCCCCCCCCCCTTTTTTCCCTCAAAAGAGTGTTGGCAGCAGGTTGTATGTGGTTGTGATATTTTTCTCTAGGATCGACATGGACCTTTCCCCAAAGATTTTTATGGGCGGAAAAAGAGGCGGAGGGGTGCAGTATGTACTAAACTTCATAAAATTTGCAAGGGGGATAGGTACCTACATTGACCATGTGAAGATGTTCTCATTTTTATGCACGTGCTTATACGTATTCGTATTATTATATTTTAATATGCGTCATTTATCACGTTAATTATTATTATTTTGCACATAAATAAGACAAGCCCTTTCCCCAATTTAGGAAATTATGAGGCAGGTAAGCCCCTCCCCCGGCTGATTTCCTCCTGACGGCTCCTATGGTTCAAACATAAAACTTACCACAAACATAAGAAAGAACCGTCATACTTTGCAAAAAAAAAAAAAGGTTAGGGGTGCAAAATCAGCAGAGAAGAATCTAGAGCTTGTGACGTCTGGAAATAATTCCAGGATAATTTACCTCTTGTGGTTTATATCGAGAAAGGCTCCGGCTGAAATACTTTTTTTTAAATGTTCCCCTTTTGTTATGCTTTTTAGTGACAGTTCAGTGGATTAATTTCTTAGTGTATTAGTCTGCAGTCACTCCTGTTCTCATGGCAACCGGCCCTGTTGTCATGGCAACCGGAAAGATTTATTGAAAGACGTAGAAGATTCTTGGCAGACTTTTATCATGGCCTACAAGTGAGCCAGCGCATAAACTGATACATTTGGAGACGGCGAGTCTGCCTGCCCATGTAGTCAGCAAGGCACTTGATGATGATTTGAAATTACAAGCTCGACTCAAACATTCTAGGGTGAGGGATGTGGAAATTACGTTTTACAAATTACATCTGATAGTTTGTATTACTGTCAACAAGACACACCTGTTGCCTGATGACACACACACAAACTGTTGGTGTAGTTTGATGGTTCATGCTGGGGCGATAAGTGCTCGACCTTCACAGGTTCTATGCTGCCATTTAAGAGAAGGGTGGAGAGAGAGAAAGAGAAAAAGAGAGAGAGAGAGAGAGAGAGAGAGAGAGAGAGAGAGAGAGAGAGAGAGAGAGAGAGAGAGAGAGAGAGAGAGAGAGAGAGAGAGAGAAAGACTATTTCACAGCAAATGCCCTATTCTATTAATACATTTTAAAGTGTGGTATGTAGTAATTTTGAAACTATTTTAGTTATAGAATGATGCCATTTTGACTCGTTTAACCCTAAGAAGTTATTGATTTCGCCAATAAATGCTTTTGGTCTGGTGTGTAGCACCAGGAGAGATAAGGCCCTACACTTTTCTGACTAGCAATCCAGTGCATTACTATCTCCCATTACCAAGGGTGTTCAGAGATTTTTTTGTAAATGACTTTTAAAAAAAAATTTATACAAAATTAAAAATTGAGCGCAGGGTTTAGAAACCTTCAGAGCATCTTACAAATAGTTGCTACACATAAAAAAAATATATTTTGCAAATATGTCTCATGATCATGGCGGCAATCTTGAATTTGTTTGTTCATTTATAGAAATTTCAGGAGATGTTTTTTCCCCCAGTTCTTAGTCAATTGTCGGCAATATGGCTAAGTCGATGAGAACGCTTTGTAATACCCGGATCGATCCCAGCTGCGGGTCATGCACCTTGCGTTGGTTTTGACAGTGGTATCAAGACAGCTAACCGTCCAGAATGCAATGGCAAACTACTGGACGTAAATTTGCCTAGAAAAACCACACAACAGCCGCTGGCTATTGGGGTTGGTTCTGCAACATCCTGTAAAGGATATGCAACTAACCTTCTTTGTGAATCTGTTCAGTGCAATAAAATGTTGGGGACATGGTTGGCGATGAAAAAAATTAGCTAAACAGAGCCATATTTTTAACGAATGACTAAATTTTTCAACATTAAAAGCGAATAAAATGAAACTTTGTGTGTGTGTTTATTCGTTACAATGAGCATTTGCGATTGCTTGATTATAAAAGCACCTCTAGTTGAAGTCTGAGCTACTTTCTTTATTTACTGGAGTTGAAGCTGTTGCAGTAGTCCTCTGTGTTTGTCAGGAATGTTGATAATTCTTAACCATGTGGTATAGCTTGAACAGGGTATGAAGCATAAAGGTGTATTGCAGTGTGGGCAGTATATACAAGTCTTGCTTCTTTTACCTGCAGCCTTACATACTTTACTGTCTGGTTTGTACCTTGGCTTTCACATTTTAAAGTCTTGATGCTGTGACGTGTGGTCTGATGGTGTTACACTGTGCTGAAGTACAGCAGGTCTAATAACAGCAAGGCTGACATCCTGCTTGAACCTCTTTGTGGTGATCTTATACATAGAGCTGGCAGTGTTGTAGCTTATATGCTCACTGGCCACAGCAGTAGAGAGATAAGAGAAGTAGAGGGAGGAGAGAAGTAGACGAATGAGAGAAGCAGAAAGAGGAGAAAGCAGAAAGAGAAGAGAAGCAGACAGAGGAGAGAAGCAGACAGAGGAGAGAAGCAAACAGATGAGAGAACTGAGAGAGGAGAAGCAGACGAGAGAAGTAGAGAGAGAGAGAGGGAACCTTTAGCACCTAAGTGTTGTGGCAGTGAACAAGTTGAGGACTTCTCACACTAGTAGTACACTGAATATGATATCAGACTCATACTTGTATATTTCAATCGGCTATTGATGGATAATATCAACACATACCATCTTTTCTTCCCAGACAATTTCCTAACACTCATATTAGGCTTAGTCAACCTGGCAGCCAGTGTAGATTTTTTTTTTACTGCTTAGTGCAGATTTAAACACCAAGATCTTTTATCCAGCCCATCACTAGCCACGATGCTAACATGACTTCTATCTGAACACTGAGCAACTGTTTTCTCAATCCGAGCGAATGCCAGCTAAACAAGACAAGCTTTAAAAGAAACACAACACTACACAGTGTTCACTTTTGCGACTGCTTGTATTTAATATATCCTGCCAGGTTGGATTTGGCCATCATCACCACGGCATAGTTTTCACCTAAATGTTTCCGCTGATGTGACACCTGGCACAAAGAGAAAAAGAGACATTACTAACACTACTAGCTGAAAAAAAATATTCCTGGTTCTGAAAATAAAAGGACGTTGTCTCTGTCAACCCAAAGTACTGCATAATCAGTTCTTCACTTTGAATCCCATTGTTGTGTGTTCTCTCACTTTTTACATTTAGTCAATGCAAGCTTTTTAACAAATCCGGTCCACCAAATGGCCCCTCCCACCATGCAGTTAAAAAAAAAAGTAAAGGACCCTTTTCCATACCTTTAGGAGTTTAGGGCATATAGGGCTAGACCTATATTTTGATAGACCAATTGGCATAAGATGGGTGATATGGTCAGCATCACGCCGGCCGCCTTTACTTCCCTGAAATGCACCCGATACCCATTCAAGGCTGGGTCGACCTAGGAGCCAAGGTCATTTTAAAAAAAAGTTCGGTTCTGCCAGGGAGTGAACCTACGACCTTCCGATCGGCGGTGAGCTTCTAGCCGCTCGGCCACAGCGACTCCCACCATGCAGTTAACCCCCCTCAGAAATCATGAATTCATAAACTGATTTTAACAGTGATGATTTCCTTTTTTCAGACAGAAGGACTGGCTCTGAACCCATGTCCCTAGATAGTATGCAGCCAGGCACACAGCTGAATGTGTCCCTCAGCAACAAGTTTACTCAGAAACATCAATCTTAAATATCCCAGGTTATTGCTCAAAATAATACTTTTTATTTACCAGAGCTGTTTAAAACAACAATCAGAGCAGACAGACAAACTGTTATCCATTCAAAACGATATTCGGGAAAAAACCCTGATTGTAGCCAATATTTAAATCTGCTTGCCAATCAGCACCTAAAAGGCTGAGTTTGGAGGCTGTGTTCTACAAATAATAGCAATAGGTTAAAAATAAAAGAAGCACAAGGATTTATGAAACTTTCTAATGTGCACATTTAAAGAATAATATACACATACATATATATGTATGTGAAAACACACTGACAATAGACTGTCCTGCATTCCGCAAACTCATCTCTGGGCAGGATATGACAACGTAATTTTGTTCTTCGGTTTTTTTAAATAATGTTCATAATTCAGCCCTGCCTTGCGACCCCAGAGAAAAGCGTTCGCAAACCCATTTATGTCACGAACCATGGACTATCACATCATTTGACAGAAGCAACAAATATGGAGAGAATTGCTGATACAGAAATCTAGCATTCTAAATTCCCCAAGACAGAAGAGGATCAACTAAGTAAGCAAAAAAATATGGGAGACTTAAAAAACATGGATAAGAAAAAACCACATGGAGCAATAGCACACAGTACAAACATTCTCAGGTACGGTGGAGCCGTGGCACCTCTTCTGTCCTACCTTAGTTCTGAAAGAAGGCTGCAAGGCAACAAGCTTCTCCACAAGTCCAATCTCCCTCACAACCTCATCCGTGTGGTCTTCCTTGAACACATCAAACAGGGAATCTAAAGCTTCAGCAGTGACCACCAAGTCATCGGCGTAGAAGGCAACATCAGCCAGGACTGAGCCAATCTTCTGCATCAGAAGGACAAAGGTGTAGAAAGTATTTTAATAATGAAATAAAAATAGTTCAAAGTGGGGTTTTTTTTAATGTACAGAAGCTTGTGGGACACCCTATTTGAGAACACATTTCGATGTGTCTACCCCCTCTAAAAAAACATAAGTGCAGCTGGAGTTATGTTTGCAATGGCATTAGTGGTATTAGTGGTGTTTAACCTCACCAGGACTGCACAATGAGCGACAAACACCCGGGCACAAGTCCTAGAAACCCTGTTCACCACTAGTTATATTTAGGACTCCAATCGATAGCCAGTGGGGTCTTTAAAATGAGAGAAAAAAACTGCATCACCTATATGCTTATTTTTCCCAGATATGTAAACTAATAGTATATCTTACAAAAATGCATAGTGGCCAGTTGCTGCTTAAATTTATTAAGCTATGTTCAAATTAATGAATTTTATTGGGCACACATGCCTGTCTTATATCTGGCCCCCCTAAACACTCATCATTCCCTGAGTAAATGTATTCTATCTATTAAGCATGTTCTGTTCATATAACAATACGCGCAATATGAAGTCAAAACCCATAAGCACACATTATAATGGCAAACAACCAGATCAAATTCTCGCATTCACCAAATGGAAAGAAAGCTCAGAGGCATGCTGGGAATGAGTGTGTTGCTTGGTTAGTTGAAAGGAGTTGAGTTATCGCTGGTCCTCAAATCGTTCAAAACATGAGCATTTAGAAAGCAACCACCATCAAGGGACCACAGCAATAAGCATAGGAAAAGTGGTGGAGGGGGATGTGTGTGTGTGGACATGTGTGATAGTTCACCATCTTACACAATCACAAGATTTTTGGATCAGGTCAATGCTCCATTCAAACCATTCAACTATTTATCTCTATGTATTTCATTTGCCCCTGTTTTTCCAGCAAGCTTGGCAGTGACCACAACGTTCTGAGTCTATTCTGGGTTTTAAAAAAATCTTAATTATCTACATTTGATTTCTTGGAGTAGGCAAACTGTCAGTTCTGATTTCCTGATGCAGGTATTCTAAGTCTCTAGTTGCAATGATCTTGCCTGCTGCATCTTTAATCCGATTGTTAAAGAAAAAATGTCCCAGGGTGGGTTTCAGGGCCTGATTTGAGGTGAAATGTCCCAGGGCCTGATTTTAGATGGGAAAAAAGAACAGACTCACAAGCTTCAAATAAAGCACAAAAGAGGATTCACTGGGGAAAGCAAATGTGTTGGGCCAAAAGGCAGATATCGCAGCCTAACTGTAAACCACAATTTTATTTGCCAACTGCCCTCTTAAGGGCAAGCATAGAGGAAAAAACATAAAATAAAAGGCGATAATGAAAAACCTCAAAAATAATCTCAAACATTTACCTTCAGCAGAGGGTGTGGCTGTGCATTGGCCGACAGTGCACAGCCCACAGTGGATATTATCCTGACAATATTGATCTGAGTGTCTCTGTTTTTGTTGTCCTTGGCCAGATTTACCAGAAAGTCCAAGTCAGAATCACTGGTATCAGCAAACTGTTACAGGGGAAAAAACAACATTTTATACTAAATGTCCAAAAGATCCTGCCCTCTCTAGGATAGATTGGTCCAGATTTGATGGTGCAACTTTTAAATAAAGATTTATAGCAGGCACAAAACAAATGCAGAAATAAAGACCCACCCCCTCCCCCCACTTGCACCAAAGAAATAAGGAGAATTGGTTACATGCATTGAAAATAAGCAGTCCACATTCTTTGAGAAAGGTTTGTATTCAGAAGGAGTATACCTGGGGTGTATCTTAACAGGAAAAGGTGCAGGAGACGATCAAAGGAAATCTTCTTCACATTAACCGGCTGTAAACTCCAGCAGAAAGTTCTGGTTGTCTGTCTACTTCTGGACTGCAGTCCTGTTTCAGAACCTGAGTGTTGCATGTGCATTCGTTTGACAGATCTGACTCCTGTGTGCAGACTGTTGGTTCTTTGCCTCTCAGGCAGATGCACTCCTGCTTTAAAGGAAGCTCCCAATTAAGTCGACTCTTACGACATGCTTTTGGGTAGGCAGTGGTTCTATTCTTGTTTTCACTATAATAGGGCCCGGGAGGACATGACTAGAATCATCATACTGCATGACGTTGAGAAGAAGAATAAAACAGATGGACAGGCACATGTTCGGTTTCTTCAGTAACAAATGCAGATTAATTTAAAAAAAAAATTTTTTTACAGGCTATAGGAATTTTCTTATTTAAGCAGACATTTTTGAAAGCTGTGCATTTACTTTTAAAATGTCAAATTCTCCGATTGTCCAGATTTCTGAATACTGTCAGTTGCATATCCTTTACTGTCAGCTGCTTATACTTTATGGCAGTTGGCAAACCAACCCCAGCTGTTCTCTTTAGAATCTACATGCTCTGGCAGAAAGTTGTGCAGATCTGGCATGCAGACTGCTGGTCCCTTGCCTCACTGGCAGATTGCACTCCTGACTTCAAAGGAAACACCTGCATTAGTAGACCTTCAGAACATGCTTGTTACAGAGACAGCGGGTATATTTCCCACCCCCCCAAAATGGCGGCCCCAGATCCTACAGAAGGAAGCCCCAGCATGTGCTGGGTGGTTGTGGTTTTTTTGCTAGGCGATTTTACATTCAATAGTTTGCCACTACTTTCTAAATGATCGATGCTCCAAACCACTGTTGAAATCAGCAAGAAGTGGTCTGCTGTCGAATCACTCACAGCTGAACAGAATGAAGTATTCTAGAGCTGTAAAGTGAGACGGCAACATGCAAGCCAGGTAGTATAAATATTAAAACCTGATATTCTGCTTCTTCTCTCTATTCCCCCCCCCCCCCCCCCCCCCATGGAGCATAGGCCACAACCAACATGAGTAATTCTGTTATATGAGTTAATTCCCTCTGTTTGCACAGGCACCAATTAATAAATGTTTGTAGTTTATTAGATTCTTGATATAACTGAATAAATATTCTTAAACATCACCTTCATAGCAATAAACTACTGTCGACACTTCATTCATAACCTATCAATAGTCTGTTCACTTCCTTTAGATATAAATTAACATGCGTAAAATTACCACCTGTGAAGTAAGATGCTCGAGGAAAGTTGCCAACTTAAACTTTTGAAACCAAGTGGCCCTGCTCTCTAACGTAGTTGGCTAAACCGAATTGCACTGAGACCGGGTGACGAACTCCTTGTGGTCCGGGCCCACTCCCGGGATTAGGCAGAAAAGCCACATTTCTCCCAGATTTACGGTATTTACAATGGAATCAAGGCCGAAAGGTTGCGATATCTATAATACCGAGCCTAAGGGTTAACAACTCATGGCTTCTGGATACTAAAACAAACAAACATGAAACCAAGTGAGAAACGATATTATCAAAAAGAATGTGGAAACAATACCATTCATCAAATTCCAGGAGAAGCAGAAGATCAAATGGTTTGGTCATCTCACTAGAATGCAGCCAGAAAATCTATTAACACAGGCACTACCCATGAAAAGATCTGATGTGAATTAAGAGGTACCCTAGGCAAAGATGGATTGATGACATTAAAGAGCAAGTAAATCGACAGGGAATGACAATAGCTATTGCTCCCTAGCAAGCAAAGAATTGCAAACTGTTTCTCCCCAAAGTGCTTGACAGAAAAAGTTAAAAAGATGAATGATGATGATAAAGGAACACAACTCACATGTGACATCTGTGTGTCTGCCAGTCGATGTATCACAGCCCTCATTGCACTTGTTACCGCCCATGTGTAGTCTTCATTCAAGCCCTCTATTATATATTGAAGAAACAAATACAATATAATGTTTGCTTTTATTAAAATTAAAACAAAATGTGAGGTGGCTTTGAAGTTTTAATGTCCACCTTAGGCTCACCTAGACTTAGTTAAATGCCCAGCGTGGATTAGATTTTCATTGTTGGTTGATTTTATTTGAATATAAGTGTGTGCGCACTTTTTCCTTGTACAATGAGGATGATCTGAAGCCTTTTTCTCTAGTCCTGTTCTGCCTTTCAGCGCCAGGTTTCGAACAGGCACATGATGGAAGTTTTGATACATGCAATGTTATGTAAATGTTGGTATCCACGACCTCAGATATTCCATCACTTACGTGGTCGACCTCTGGCCCTAGTTCAGTTATGTTTAAGTGACACGACTCTGTGGTGCAATATCTGGTGGTTGTCTTGACACATGTCCAAACCAGCTAATCTGTTGTCTCTCGGTGTTGTTTAGGACTGGGTTCAACCCAGTTTCTTTCCTGATATCGTCATTTCTGATCCTGCCTCTCACAGTCACATTTACGATTTGTCGGAGGCATTTCATTTCTACTGTTTCAATTTGTTGTTGTTGGTAATGTTCACATTTGCCACCAGTAACACAGTGTTGGTTTCAAAGGCTAAATAATTAAAATACACAAGGTTCCTCTCATAATTTTAACTCAATAAGTTGATGTGACTTGAGCTAAGAATGACAACACAGCACTCAGGACATTTCCATAAGTGCCTGGTCCCTATCTTCAGCAGCCAGGGCAAAGTTCCAACTCTGATTATACCAGTAACAGTTTGGCTGTATGTTAAACATGCCTTTCCTCTGAGTGTTAAGTGTCCTCTGAGTGTTAAGTGTTTGCCAGATCCCCTGGTACTCTCCCTGCTGCAACATTCTTTCCAATAAATAAATATATGTTTAAGAAACAAAATTGGTATTTATTTCTGTTTTAACAGTCGCACTATTCACAGCAACTGTTTACTAACCTTTGGAAGTACTTGCCAGCTTGTACAATTCAGTCCACATTGAACTTAAGGGCACCAACTGTGTAAAGCAACTTTCGTCTATAACAGCAACCAAGTTACTGAGACAAAGAAGAGCTCTCGTCTGTAGATCGGCCAGCCTGCAAACATTTTAACAATTTAACCATCAGACAACGAGAAGACAAACTAGATGTTAATCGAGCTGCGTTAAAACTGATACATAAGGCAGATGTGGTTAGAACCTTGTGGGAGAACGTGTACAAGTCAGAGGAGCAAATGGATCAACACAGTCTGGTGACAGTGAAGCAGAGGGGGAAGGGCAAGACGAACGAATAACCAGAATGCTGTTGGCACCAATGGTATAGGAACTCTGTGCTGGCTGTTGAAGATGGGGATGGAGCGCTTATGGGAACGCCCCGAGTACTGCGATGTCGGTTCTTGAATCAGCTCAAATGTCAGATAAGGAGAACACAAACTGTGTGGGTTCCAGGGCCCCATGGAAAAGGGGGGGGGGGGGGGGGTGTGTGTGGAGGGAGAGAATAGACCCACTGCCTCCCCAGCTAAACAAGCCGTAAAAAGCAACTCATTCAGGATTTTTCCTCAGAAGTCAGAACGCATTTGCCTAAGAAGCGAGGAACCTATAGTCTGCATGCAAGTAAAAAGATCTGCAAAAGTGATGTGCATGCAAAACTTACATTCTAGGAAAAGACTGAAGTCCAAAGTGGACAAACAAATTGAACTTTCTGCCAGAGTTTACAGCCGGCGAAGGCCAAGAAGAAGAAAAAGAATGTCAAAAATAAGTACAGAGGAGTAGAGTCAAGAACTCACACCCCAGCACTTGGGACATTCCGATTTGTGCTCCATCCTCATCTTCAGCAGCCAGTAAGCCAAGAGAAGGTAGGCTCAGAATCACAAAGGTGGACAAAGGGTGGGAACGCTGTGCACTTGAAAATTAAAGAAGCAAGGGAATAGCAATGGTGGGAACATAGGTCTTGCTTCATAATGATCTTGATGGTGACTTAGCATGTCATTATTTAATTCCAGCTTTTCTGCCATAAAACAGTAGTTGATAGTGCACATACCATTAAAAAAAACCAATAATTTAAGGCTCAATCTTGACAATGGATGATAAATACAAATTTTTTTAAAAAGTAAAGGACCCTCTTCCCCGCCTTTAGGTGTATAGGGCTAGACTTATATTTTTATAGACCAATCAGCACAAGATGGTTGATGTGGTCAGCATCAGGCCGGCCGCCTTTACTTCCCGGGACTGCACCCAGTACCCACTCAAGGCTGGGTTGACCTGGGAGCCAAGGTCATTTTTTGAAAAAGTCCAGCTCTACCAGGGAGCAAATCCACAACCTTCAGATCCGGGGCGAGCATCTAGCCGCTACGCCACGGCGACTCCCAGGGGTGATAAATAAGTCCATACATCTATCCATCTACCTACCTACTTATCCATCTCTTTGTCCGTATCTGTCTCCATATTTGCCTGTCTGAGCTGCTATCAAAATCGCTAACTCAAGAATAGTGTACAATCAGTCTCGTAAATGGGGTTTACTATATATATTTTTATAGCAACTTGTTAATATGCTAAGCATTTTAGTATTGTACATTTCTGAGCAGCTTTAAAGTCAACAACTTACTTCTTCAAAGTATTCCTTCCACGCTGAGAGGAATTTAACCTCAACATCAGTGCTATGTCCAGAGGTGCTGCTTTCCTCAAAATCTGATTAACAAAAGAAAAAAAAATGGCTAGAAATAACTTATTATGGTCTTCTTCAGATGTCCGGTCTGACGAAGGCATTGGTCATCACGACTCTTCAGTTATCTGTTATCTTCTTAATCTTCTTCTTGGCGTTCATCAGCTGTAAACTCTTGTGGAAAGTTCTGGTTGTTCGTCCACTTCTGAACTTGTCTTGAATACCTTCTGCATCATATTTGATGGCCTAGAATATGTAAATGACTAGCACCTGACACCCCATATCCACTAAGGGCAGGACTTTTTCTCAGAAAAAGGTGAAGGTACTCAAAGTGTCTTCTGGCGAACAGCCATGGTATAGCAACCAGACGCCTGTGGATATGAAGGTCGGGAGCTCAAATCTGAACACTGCCTGCCATTTTTTCCTTCAAAAATGACCTCTGCTCTCAGGTCAACCCAGCCTTAAATGGGTACCAGGTAAAGTCCAGGGAAGTAAAGGTGGCAGGTGTGATGCTAAACACATCATTAATCAGTGCTGGTGGTGTACAAAATACAGGTTAAGCACCATATGCCGAACATATCTGAAGGGTTGGAAAAGTGCCCTATCCTCAAGGAATAACTTTAAAAAAAAATATATATATAAAGAAGAAAGTGCCAGTAATCATCACAAATTGTTTATGACATTACTGCTGTGGGAAAAAGATGACCAAAAAAGGTGCAGGTGCGGCACACTATTGCATCAACATTATGTAGCAGGTCCTTTGCAGAACATCGCTCTCATCATGGTCTGCCTGAAAAAAACTTGTATCACTCCTGCCTCATGTATTTTTATATTCAGGGAGTCGCTTATATCCTGTGCCCATCTTTATGTAGGTTGGCACCTGTTCCTCCTTTTTGGTACCATGCCTTCTGCTATTTGTTTTTCCAAATCCGCCGTGGCACTTGATATGACCAAAATATTTCAGCTTTTGTGACAAGTTGCTGTTTATTAGGCAGTCTTTCTTGATGCTCAGATCTTTCAAAATGTCAGTATTCCTAATCTTCTTTGTCTATGGTATTCTGAGAATCCGTCTATAGCATTTCAGCTCAAACCATTGCATACGGCTATGAGAAAAAAGCCCTGACTATGGGACAATCTTTTTATTTTAAAATATAACCAGTAGCTTCAATAGACAACAAAAATACAGCAGGTAGCATCTTTTACCTTCGACAGGATATCTTTCTCCAGAAAAGCTGAGCTAACCTCACTGGATAAGCACAAAGTACCCTAAAAGCAAAATAAGAACATCTTTAAAAAAAAAAAGCTGAATTAACCTCACTGGATATGTATAAAGTACCCTAAAAGCAAAAACTGGAACCCCTTTTAAAACAAAACAGAAAACTGAAGTAAATTCACTGGATAAGTACTAAGTACCATGAAAACTGGGAGCTGCCATTGTGGAGCGGCTAGATGCTGACCTGCGGACCAGAAGGTTGGGGGTTCAGGTACTGGCGGAGCCAGACTTCTTTCGAAAAGGACCTTGGCCCTTAGGTCGACCCAGCCTCAAGTGGGTACCAGGATGGGCTGTCCTGGGAAAGTAAAGACAGCCGGCGTAATGCTGACCACATTACCCAACAAGTGCTGATGGTCTGTAAAAATATGGGCGCTCTTCCCATATACCCGATACGCCTAAAGGCGTGGAAAGGGATCTTTACTTTTTTACTTATGGCTCAGGTCGGAGGCAGAAATGTGAAAGAGGCTGGAATATTTTTGTCCTAAGTATTCAGACTAGAGATCATCACAGTAACTAAAGCAACAGCTAGGCTAGAGTCGCAGATATGTCTGCTCAGTGATTCAAGGAGTATGATCAGGGATGCGATACAGCAAGAATGGAAGCCAAGTAACTACAGACTGGAAGGTTCGATATGCAGCCTTCTTCTTCTTCGCGATAACCGGGCGTAACCTCTGGCAAAAAATTATGGCTGCTTATCCATTTTTGGACATTAGTCTTATTCCATAACTTGAATTTTGCATGTACATCTGTTTTACAGATCGTATGCAGACTGATAGTTCCTTGGCTCTCAGGCAGATGAACCCCACTTCAGAGCAACCATCACAAATTCGTCACCTTCTAGGGCATGCTTGTTATAGGTGTGGTGGGTCTATTCTTTATTCCCTCAAAATGGAGCCTCGGAAACCACAAAGATATAGACTAGATATGATCTGTCAACCGCTATAGGACAGCGTCTTCAATCAATCAGTCACTTCTAGGATAAAAGAGTCATTATAGGACTTTTCCAAACCTGATGATTAAATAGACCAGTGTCTTCAGTCGTGACTGTTACTTCTAGGATAAAAGAGTCATTATAAGAATTTTCCAAACCTGATGATTAAATAGACCAGTGTCTTCAGTCGTGACTGTTACTTCTAGGATAAGACAGTCATTATAAGACTTTTCCAAGATCAATGAACATACATACAACACATACATACCACTGTGTCTTCCATAACATCAGTTGTCTCTGGGGCTGCTTCCACAGCCGCATCATCTGAGGACTCGCTAGACTGTAAACCTTCCATATCTTCCCAGTCATCTGAAATTCCAGAATACAAAATTCCTACATTAAGGTCCTTTCCGGTTGACCTTTTCACCCCTACTGAAGCATAGACACTCAACCAACTCATGCCAGGCCCTTATATCTACTGTTATTCCGTGTGAGCATATTATTCATGTCTTTATTTCTTTTCTCTATGTGTTATTAGGTCTTCCCAGTTATTTTTCTCCTTATCTGAGAAGACAGATGACTCATTAGAACGTAAACCTCAAACATCTTCCCTGTCATGTGAAAGTCAAAAAAGAAAAATAGCTAAGTTTAGGTTCTCTTAAACTGACCTTTTCACCTTTTCTAAAGCAAGGACACTCAACCAACTTATTACCAGCTATCTTGTATCTACTGGCATCTCCTGCAGCTCACTGCATGCTCCATCTATATTATTTATCGTTCTAATTATTCTCTGGTTTTTAGGGCTCCCTTTGTCTGAAGTTTTTTTCTCCTTATATGAGAAGGTGAGGTATCAGATATCCTTATCCAAATGACCAGGGAAAATGTGTGATTAAACCCTGAAGAATACAACTTTTTTTTAAAACTCAACTTCCTTTTTTTGTGTGTATGCGATTCTCTATTTATAAATTAAAAGTTCTTCGTTATGACTATACAAAATTGTATGGTCTGTGGCAGAGCTTTATGTAATGAGAAAGAGAAAACTGAAGTATGTCGTGACAGGAGGAAAGCTGGAGTGGAGGAGAGGCAGAGGGAGAACGAAAGAAAAGATGGTGGGCAGTCTGACACTATGGCATGGAAGATTATCTGTGTCAGAGTTGATTGTAAGTACACAAGATGGAAGGTTGTGGATAGACAAAACTACCAACACTACATGGCATGGACTTTTAAGAAGAAGAAGGTACAGCTTCAAACATGAGAGAGGTCCATAGGTATTCGATGACTGGAACAACTGCACTACACCGACCCCACTCTTGTTTCATGCAAGCCCTTTTCAGGGTTCAGGCGACCTGGAAACATATGCATTAACTCCTTCAGTACCAAGCAAGGCATCATGTTTTATTTGATTAATATTTACATGCTACCACCACCAAAACCTGCACCTGGGGCAGCTCCACACAGGATCATTCCCAAGGCTTCCACGCTCACCCTGATGCACCCCCCCCCCCCCAGTCTCAGCATTGTCGCTTTAAGCGATTGACTGTTAAGGCGGGCCTGTACTGGTCCATCATTTTAGGACTGACTGATGTGGCAGGTGAGTTATTACACACTCCTTAGCGAGTGCTTACTTCCACAGACACTGTCTTTATATTTATATGATATTCCTTTCTCATCCCCCTGTGCCAAAATTAGTTGTTTATAGTAACCTATCTCCACCAATTGTTAATTTAAATCTTCTCCCTCACAATGCTATAACTGTAATTCCATTGGACCCAAATATCTATTAGTTAAAATAACAACCTCTCATTATAGAACGAGTTAAAATGACAGCTGTCTGGAATTCAAAGAGTTGAGAACAAAAGAGTTAAGAATGAAAGAAGTCTTCCAGAGGATCAACAACTTACCATCAGAATAACACAGATTTGCTAGCAGCTCCAGACTAATTCCCTGTGCACTTAACAGTTTATCAACTTCTGGCCAGGACATCTCAGACTCAATTTCCTTTATTCAACAAAATACACATTTGCAACATATTACTTCAGTAGGCTGGGAACACCTTACGTTTGAAAGGCTGTCAAGTCATACAAACATTCACTAAGATGACACCGTGTTTCAGAATCCCGAAAGTTACAAGTTTAGTTAAGGGTTTATGCTCTGTTGGGGGATACATTTCAAAGCGAGTTTAGATAAGCAGATCCCTGTGAGGGCCCTAGGGTCCCATCAGGGAAGGGGGAGGAGATAAGACACGCATGTTGTAAAAGTTAGGGGTGTTTCCTTTGAAGTCAGAATACATCTGCCTGAGGGGTCAGGAACCAGCAGTCTAGTCTACATACATATAAGCCAGAATTGCAAAACTCGAGTTCTGGAACAAGTCCGGAAGTGTACGAGCAACTAGACCTTTCCGCCAGAGTTTACAGCGGGTGAATGTTAAGAAGAGATAAGCAGAGCTTGGAGAGGGAGAACTATACAAATTTCAGTAAAAAGAAGATTAAGAAAATGACAGTGAGGCTGGATAAAATACACACTGAGATTACCTGGTTATAGAAGTAAAGGTCTTTTTCTTAAACACCAGTGACACACAGGGCATTTTGATGCTGGGCTCTTATTTTATAGATTAATCAGTGCTTGATGGATGATGTGATTAACATCATGCCGGCCGACCTTCTCAGGACACTGCCTGGTGATACAAATCCTCCCGGCAAGGAATCAAACCTCAAAGCCCTCTGGCTAGCAGATAAGCACCAAGCCATTATGCTGCCCCCTATTAAGAGATGATTATACCAAAAGAGTTCACAAATAGATTAGCTGCTGTTGCTATTCTGGCTGGTATGATATGATAAAGCGAATGTGGTGAAGACTCTATGGCACAGCTATTCAACTGGTGACCCATGGGCCAGCAGGCTTAGAAAGTGGCCTGTGGATCATTGCCAGTTATACTGTTTTAATGACATTTCTTAGTCTCAGTCAAGGTTAAAACCTTTATTGTAATCGGGTTTCCCCACACTTGCTCCCTTCCATTGTCAGTGACAATCAAATTAAATGTCCCTCACTGTCGCATTTGAAAATTAGTAAACAAACAATTTGTCAGGGAACAATCCAGAATTCGCAGCAAATGCACATTTCAGTTTTTAGAGGCCCCAAAGCCAAGAGTCACCACCAGAAATACAGTTTGTTGTTGATGGAAGTAGTTGGGCATGGTAAGTTGGCTATACACATGTTGAACTGACACAACTGATGAACAAATAAAAAGCATTTAACAGGAAAAACACAGCCCACAGGGCTGCACCAAGCACTAAACTCAGTAGCTCAGGCAGCGAAACTATAGGCTACCGTCCATATGTGGAAACTGCATTAGCAAAGCGCTATCGGAAGCAAAAATAACGTCGAAGCTTAACAATCTGCCATGCCGAATCCTCAATTTTAGGTTAGAAGTGATGAATAATGATACTTCTTTGCTGGGGCTCAGGCCTCTGGGCCCGTGATGAACCCCGTTTTCAAAACGTTGGTCCCCTAGCAAAGCTAGTTGAAATGCTCTGCTCTATAGGATTAAATGGACAGGGCAAAAGAACAGATAGGAAATCCATACTGATACTGAAAGACTAATTAGGGTGGGGTGGCTTGGGTAAAGAGGTTCTGGAAAATATTTAACACTGAAGGGGACTTTTTAATCTGGCTGCAACTGGGCACATGTAGGAATGTCCCTAGCACAGTGATGTCAAATCTTGATTCATCCCTTTATTTTTTTTAAACTGACATTTAAGAGTTCAAGAAACAAATATCACTACTTGATAAAAGTTAATTCCCGCCTCCCTAATTTTTTTTCTTCAAACAGTAATAATATACAATATTTATACCTCAGTTGTCTCATGATTTCCCTCAAGGGCAGCAACTATCACAGCGAAACAATCCATCTCTAGAACCTCGGAAATGGTTGCCACAATGCCAGCATAATACTTTGTCAGGTCTACGTCAGTCACATTCAACAAAATACCTGAGGAGGAGAGGAGGCAGTGGGAATTACTTAAAATCAAGACTTTTTTTCTTCTTCTTCTTCTGGAGGTATGCAATAAAACACAGTACCTGCATCTTCTTTTAGGCATCATTTTTTCAGTGCTACTGCAGTAGACATATTGTCATGAATACCAGCACCATTTATAGACAGTGGTGATTATCGGCACCGTTTTTAGACAGTGTGGTGAATACCGGCACCAACATTGGAGGGGATGGTGAGCATCAGCACCAGCTTTGGAGGGGACGGGGAGTACCAGCACCAGCTTTGGAGGGGATGGGGAGTACCAGCACCAGCTTTGGAGGGGATGGGGAGTACCAGCACCAGCTTTGGAGGGGATGGGGAGCACCAGCACCAACTTTGGAGGGGATGGGGAGTACCAGCACCAACTTTGGAGGGGATGGGGAGTACCAGCACCAACTTTGGAGGGGATGGGGAGCACCAGCACCAACTTTGGAGGGGATGGGGAGTACCAGCACCAGCTTTGGAGGGGATGGGGAGCACCAGCACCAACTTTGGAGGGGATGGGGAGTACCAGCACCAACTTTGGAGGGGATGGGGAGTACCAGCACCAACTTTGGAGGGGATGGGGAGCACCAGCACCAACTTTGGAGGGGATGGGGAGTACCAGCACCAGCTTTGGAGGGGATGGGGAGTACCAGCACCTCTTTTCCAGAAAACAGACCTGCTGAAAATAATTTAGAACAGAAAGCTGGTCTAATGCAGTAGCTAGCACTTGCCTGGTGGCCAAAGGTTCATCCTGCAGTAGATTTTTAAAACTGGGCTAATTATGAGGTCGACCCAGTCTAAAAAATGGATACCATGAAACATCATGGGAAGTAAAGATAGCTGACATCATACTGACCATTTTACCTACTGATGGCTGATTGGTGTACACAAATTAGGCTTTAAAAAAAAAGTATGCTCAATAAATCTAAAGGGACAAAACCGTGTTCTTTTTTAAAAGGACACTGGTGAAAAGGCATATTAATGGATGGAGCTCTTAGTTAGTTAGTTAGTTAGTTAGTTAGTTGGGTTATCATCATTGCACTCCGGACATGACCATAGGTGCTCAGATCCTACCCTCAGTATGAATCCCAACGTCCGATGGCTAATAGTACCAGTTCTATGTTGATTAACAAGTCTTCTGACGTGTCCGGTGTGCGTCTCGTTTTTTGCTGTGCCGATCTTAATTCCCAAGTCTGCCATTCTGGCGAGTGATGTGGATTCACTGCCACCAAAGTCCTCTATCCTTCCCATTTCTCCGAGGGCATTGATAATATCAGCATGATCCATAGGCCGACCATCGGTAGTGATAGCGGATCCAGCCAACCTGTCAGCTCTTTCATTTCCATCGACGCCTGCGTATCCCGGAACAAAAATAAAGGATGGAGCTCTGCCAGTTGCAACTATGGAACACTCCAGCAATCCAGGTCACATACTTCAAAAGTGAATATTTGTCAAATGTCATATGAGTAATAGTTTAGCTCAGAATGTTAATGACTATTAATGGAATATTAATGGACGGATCTCGGCGGGTTGCAACTATGGAGCACTCTAGCAACCGAGATCACATACTTGAAGAGTGAATATTTGTCAAATGTCATATGAGTAATAGTTTAGCTCAGAATGTTAATGACTATTAATGGAATATTAATGGACGGATCTCGGCGGGTTGCAACTATGGAGCACTCTAGCAACCGAGATCACATACTTGAAGAGTGAATATTTGTCAAATGTCATATGAGTAATAGTTTAGCTCAGAATGTTAATGACTATTAATGGAATATTAATGGACGGATCTCGGCGGGTTGCAACTATGGAGCACTCTAGCAACCGAGATCACATACTTGAAGAGTGAATATTTGTCAAATGTCATATGAGTAATAGTTTAGCTCAGAATGTTAATGACTATTAATGGAATATTAATGGACGGATCTCGGCGGGTTGCAACTATGGAGCACTCTAGCAACCGAGATCACATACTTGAAGAGTGAATATTTGTCAAATGTCATATGAGTAATAGTTTAGCTCAGAATGTTAATGACTATTAATGGAATATTAATGGACGGATCTCGGCGGGTTGCAACTATGGAGCACTCTAGCAACCGAGATCACATACTTGAAGAGTGAATATTTGTCAAATGTCATATGAGTAATAGTTTAGCTCAGAATGTTAATGACTATTAATGGAATATTAATGGACGGATCTCGGCGGGTTGCAACTATGGAGCACTCTAGCAACCGAGATCACATACTTGAAGAGTGAATATTTGTCAAATGTCATATGAGTAATAGTTTAGCTCAGAATGTTAATGACTATTAATGGAATATTAATGGACGGATCTCGGCGGGTTGCAACTATGGAGCACTCTAGCAACCGAGATCACATACTTGAAGAGTGAATATTTGTCAAATGTCATATGAGTAATAGTTTAGCTCAGAATGTTAATGACTATTAATGGAATATTAATGGACGGATCTCGGCGGGTTGCAACTATGGAGCACTCTAGCAACCGAGATCACATACTTGAAGAGTGAATATTTGTCAAATGTCATATGAGTAATAGTTTAGCTCAGAATGTTAATGACTATTAATGGAATATTAATGGACGGATCTCGGCGGGTTGCAACTATGGAGCACTCTAGCAACCGAGATCACATACTTGAAGAGTGAATATTTGTCAAATGTCATATGAGTAATAGTTTAGCTTTGAGACTACTTATGCATATGTTTTGAGGAAAAATACATTTGGCAATGTAAGACAACTGACAAACTTGATGGGAAAAGATAATTAAAATACCTGGATGGCTTGAATTATGTGGGACAAGAAAACATGTTCATTCCTTGATTCTAGTGACTGTGTGAGATAGCAAAACAACGCCCATGCTCATGAAGTGCTGCATAAAAATAATGACAAATTGCCTACTTTTGTTTAGAAATACTGGGTCATCTAGTTAAATAACAAAGTAACAATTACAAAGTAACAATCACAAAGTAACAATTACAAAGTAACAATTACAAAGTAACAATTACAAAGTAACAATTACAAAGTAACAATTACAAAGTAATCAAAAATGTCAGGAGCATTGTCTAGTGAGCAAAAAAGGATAGAATTTAAACAGAAATACAGCTTTGACACTTGGAGGAGAAAAAATATTCAACAAACCAGTAACGAGAGTTCGGAAGAGGACAGCATCAATCCCACTCGGAGCGGCAGAGATGATACTTAGAAGCTGCGAGAAGACTTCTGACTGCTGGCAAACTTTGGACACATCTTTGTTGTTGTCACTGACAACATGCAGACACCTTGCTGAAATATATATCAATGCACATTTGTTTAGAACGTGTAGCAATTAAACAATTGCAACATTAAATGTTGAGAATACTGTTTAGATATTTGGCTTTTCTCAAGTTAATTTAAAGCTGTTTTTTCCCCCTTTTTTTATTGCCTTCACAACATTTGTTGATGAGGATAAACAGAAAAACAAGCATAATTTCAAGGAAATAAAAAACAGGTTCTGAAAAGACTTAATGAAACAGAATTGCTAAAAGAAATAAGAGACAAGTAAACTATTTTAACCACATAAAAAGACAACATTCAATTTAAAATCCTGAAGGGAAGAGAAGAGCTGAAGGTCAGAGAGAAAGATGTAGTGATACAAATGGGATGGTAGAATTAAGAGATGGAAGTGATAAAAGGGGGATGATAGAATCAACAGATATAAGTGATACAAGTGGGATGATAAAATCATCAGATAGAAGTAATACAGAAGGGATGATAAAATCAAAAGCTAGAAGTGATACAACAGAATAAAGAGATGGAAATAATACATGTGGTACGATAGAATAAACAGAGGAACGTGATACAAGTGGGACAATAGAATAAAGAGATAAATAAACAGCAGAAATTTTACAACCAGGACTAGAGACAGAGTACCGGAGATCCACTGCATGCAAAACTGGATATTGTGACGACTGATTTTCTACTTTTTCTGCATTCTTCCTTAAGAGGACAGTTGGTACATTTTTTTGTGGTTTACAGATAGGCTGCAATATCTGCGCCTTTCGGCCCAACGCATCTGATTTCAACAAATTCTTAATTATGAACAGTGTTTAGAATTAGTTGCCTTTTATGACATTCTTGCTAATGAGCAGTAGGCCTATTTTTGTGTGTTCCCCAAATGTGGTTCTGGAACCCACACCAGGAGCCTATGAATGACTGATCAAGGTAGTTTTTATTTTATAAATATACCCCCGTGTGGGTTCCGGGGCCCCATTGTGGGGAAAACAAGAATAGACCCACTGCCTCCCCAAAAAGCATGTCGTAAGAGTCGACTAATTGGGGAGCTTCCTTTGAAGTCGGAGTGCATCTGCCGGAGAGGCAAGGAACCAACAGTCTGTATTCAAGAGAATGAGATCTGTAAAACTGATGCACACGCAACACTCAGGTTCTGGAGCAGGACTGAAGTTCAGTAGTGGACGAGCAACCAGAACTTTCCGCTAGAGTGTACAGCTGGTGAACGCGAAGAAGAAGAAGATTTTATAAATATAAACAAAGAGTATGGGCTGACATAACAAGGATACCTGGGATATGAGGAATTATCGTACAACACTGAGTGCCACTGATGCTTAGCCAACTTACCCACTGCTAGCGACAGGTCGTAGCCATATGTGTCTACCTTCAGAAGAGGCAACAGAACCTGAAGAAGATTTTCTTTGTTGAACCACTGAACTGCAATGTTACTGCTCTCACTGAAAGTTAAACAGAATTCATGAATGTAAAATATTCAAAGCCAAAAATCATATACAGTCAACAACAACAAAATGCCCCGAGATACAATTGTTAAATAAACGAACTGGTGTTGCTTGTCAACTACGTGTTCTCGAATGTAGAAGTTTCCACAGCTGACTTTTTTGTTGGCTTTTTCAGCCTGTCGTTGCTGTTGGCATTTGTTACCCCCTACAGTAACAAGTTACTTGGTACGGCATTGACCTGGGACGGTATCTGAACAGTTATCGCCGTACAGTATTGGTGGCCAAGCCAGTATTTGAACCTGGGACCTCTCGCATGGGCTGCGATGGCTTTACCTTCCTACTGCACACAAAAACACTATCCCCGGAAAAATAGAGATGCAAAACAACTGCATTCAATAGAAGGAATGAGAGTTGCTGAGTACCAGCATAGGCAAAACACACAAATGGACACTTTCTATTGTTTATACTTCACCTTAACACAAGATATATGTGGGACGCTTGTAAATCCACCTCACCTTTCTCTTGAGTGTTGATCGTTGGTCAGATTCCCTGGTCACTCCTTGTAGCACTATTCTCCTCAGACTGACCATCCATTCTGTGCTTCGGCACTATTCACTCACCCCCAAAAGACCCTCATAGCATCTAGCTTGTTATGTTCACTATAGTTATGCAGAATCAGCCAGCCTAACTGACTATTCATTTCCCAACACACCAACATTGTCTGGAGACAATATCCAAAGGATTCTAACTGTCCAGGATCTCTGTAGTGATGCTTGCCACTCTTTACAGAGCATACTGGTTTCCACCTTTCTCAACAAACTCTGTGAGTTGGTTACAATTAAAAAACCTGTTACACTTGATTCTGAAGTCGGCGGAAGGCTACAGCGACTGCCTCCACCTCCATTCTCAAACTAGATGTTGCAATGTCATATGCCAGGTCTCTCCCTTTAACACTCTGTAGACAACAAAAACTCACCACAGATTGGCCAGAAGTTCCACGGCTTCTATCAACACACTGTTGCTTGTGTCATACTTTGTACATTCCTTCTGTGGCACCCAATTGTCCCCATACTGAGAAAGAAAACATGGTTATAATTACCCAAAACAGCAGATAAAAATTAGGTTCTCTATTTCTGCTCTCATATTACACCTAGCCTGAGATGGAGCTAAGGGAGCTGAGACAATGTACTAAGAGAATTGAAGTGACATAAAAAGCGAAGGGAATTGAAGTGATATAGGGAGCTAGGAGAGTTGAAGTGACATAATAAGCAAAGCAAGCTGAAGTGACATAAGGAGCTAAGGCAGCTAAAGCGACATAGGTAGCTAAAAGAGTTGAAGTGAGACAGTGTGCTTCTTCAACTTTTGGAAAGTATATGTGATAAAGGAGGGAACTAGCTTCCAGCACCTTATATCTCATAGCCTATAATATCAGTTTTGAGTTTCGCAATCTTCCCAGCACCCTGGATTTTACACAGATGCTCAGATTCCCCCCTCATCATATACATCAGCGTCCCGAGGTTAACAGAGACAGTCATATGCTGGTGTGCCTCTCATGCCCAGCTGTGCTGACCTTTACTCCCAGTTCTCACATTCTTGGCATTAATGTGATATGCTGCTTTCAAACTCTTCTGATTGTCCTACCCCTCAAAAGGCATTAACAAAGTCTGCGCAATTCACAGGGCGGCTATTTGCAATTATGGCAGAATCGACCAATCTATTAGCTCTTTCAAAGCATAGTGGAATTTCACAATGGCATAATCCACTGCCTGCGTACAGAGCCTGAGAGCGTGCCTCGACCTACCAGATCATGCTCACAGAATCACTCAGCACACACACATAGGAAAAGTCCTGTGATTCCGGCCAAATAAAAGCTTTATGTCACCGCCTTTACCTCCATCTGTGAAGACCTAATACTTCAACATACCTGGTCCAACATATCTGACCAGCACACCCCTATTTAGTTGTCTTTTACAAGTCGTTGGGTCTATTATGTCTCTCTGAAATAGGGTCCTTTCACAAATCTTGGAACTTGACACAAACACTCACCTGTCTAATCAGTGCTGTTAGAGGGGTGAGAACATCCTTGGCAACCATAACATCACAGACATCTGGATGTCCATACACACTCATGTTCCTGCAAAAATAAATTTAGGCCTAAATTTCAATTAAAAAAAAAAAATCTAATCAAATAAAGAGGCTCTGAACAGGCTGAGAATGAAAAAAGAGTTCCTAGCAACAACAACAACAAATTTTTAAAAAAACGACAAATGAAGTATTTTGCGCAGGGAATCTGAGTGTCTGTGGAAAGTCTAAAGTGTTGTGAAGATAGCCCAACTCAAAACTGATATTATATACTATAAGGTATATGGTTGTGGTAGCTAGTTCTCTCTTTTATTTCATATCCTTTCCAGAAGTTGAAGTGGCACACTGTCTCACTTCAGCTTACTTAGCTTCTTATGTCACTTCGGCTCCCTTAGCTCTATATATGTCACTTTAACTTCCTATGTCACTTCACTTATTAGTTCTTTGTGTCAGCTCCCCCAGCTCTTTATGTCACTTTAACTCCCTTAGTCCCCTATATCACTTCAGTTCCTACAGCTCATTATGCCACTTTAGCTCCCTTAGCTCTTTATGTCACTTCTGCTTCCTTTGCTCATTATATCATGTCAATGAAGATCATAAATGAAGAAGTGATAAAAAATAAAAAATGTTTATCACTGGCAAATGTCAAAGCAAGAAGATGAAAGGCCTGAACATGTTTACAAAATGCCTCATGACACTGGCAAGAACAGCTCACCGGTGTGTGGCAGACGGACAAGAGAGATGTGGGTGACCTAAGGAAACCCAGAGAAGGACAGCAGAAATGGAAATGAAGGGGTGTAAACTGACATGAGATACCAAAGGCAGAAATGAAGATATGTGATTGCTAGATGTGTCCTTTTTACACACGTAAATTAAGAAGAGTTTAGAGACAGCTGAGATGTGGTTCTTGAAAAGAATGTTGCAAATACCTTGGACTGCCAGAATAACTTATAATGATTGCCTGGAAATGGCTAATGAAAGTAGAACATTATATTCAACAATGAGAAGGAGTTTTTTGGTAATGTGAGGAGAAAAGGAGCACTGGAGAATATCATGACTAGAAAGATCACTGGTAGAAGAGGCAGAACAAGAGATATGATAGTGGATGGCTTAAGACAGTGGAATTGATCCAGAACACCAAAGACTGACTTCTGTGGAGATGCAAGGCAAGGCACTTGATGATGATGAATCTGATACGAGTCAATAACACAAAAGGATATAGACAGAAGGCATAGAGAGGGATACTTAACACTTATCATTTGTTTTTATTAATTGAATTTCAGATTTAGACGTTTACACGCTGACATTCAATATCCTAAACTCACCTGAGAGCACCCAATGCACTTTTTCTCACGTCTGTACATGAGTCTAAAAATAAGGGCGCAACAATTTTCACAACATTCTCTTGAAGCAAAAAGCCGATAGCTTTTGGCTGGGACACAATACTGGCAAGAAGTTGGCAGCCACATGTCCTCTCTTCCGCAGCTGAAGCTTGCAGCTGTAAATTAAACAAAGACATAGTTACTAATATCTTAAAACTACAAGGACAATATTAAACAATGCAAGTCAGTATAAGAATCCCTGATCCACTAAACATACAGATAAATGGTTCTGGCCTGAAACAAGTTAGTATTTAGGAAATTTAAATACCTAGGAAGTTTGATCACGTAAATAAGATGACAGAATTTACAGAGAAAATGAAACAAGATGTCAAAAAGTAAGTTTAGTAAGTGCACTTATATACCAAATTATCACCATTATTAAGACATACAAACATAATTCTGAGTGCAAAAAACACACACACAAACAGATTATAAACAGCATATTCATACCAAAATTGAGCTACCAGTGCCAAACATGGCGATTATTTAAAGCACATATAAGCAAAATAACCATCTGCAAGAGGAGATGCCAGAGATAAGCTGCCAATATAACATAAGTGAATAATGATACTATCCGACAGATTGTGGGAACAACACATTGTACTAGATTCATTAAGAAACAGCAAATCAAGTTGTCAGCCATCTCGTTAAAATGCAGCAACATCAAATACTATCACATCATTACATTTAAGAAGAGCAAGAGGATGGCCATGAAAAATATGGATCAACAACATTATACTTTCACAGCATGACCACAGACAACGTACTATTTCTACCCATGATGCTCAACAGCAGAAGTGGTTTATGTTATGGTGATGATGAAATAAAATATTTAAAACAGTATAAAAATAAACAGATATTTACTTGTTACCAGGACATATGATGAGGGCTATCCTCCAAATAACAGGCACATATTATGATTTATGGCGGCCGCAAAAAACATCCTAAAAGGGCCTCAGCCACCTGTCAATTACTCACTTCTGGTGACTTAATTTGCGGACTTCCGGCGACCACTGCCACCGCCGAGAGTATCTCCCATGCCGTGTGGATTGGGGCTAACCTAGATGGGTGGGACTCACGAGCAGCAGCTTCCTTATCTCCTGTAGCTTTGCTCGTGAGTGCCAGCCATCTAGTATAGCCCCAATCCACACCGCACGTAGTGGCGTAGGAGATACTCTAGGGGTGGTTGTAGTGGCTGGAAGTCCGCAAACTAACTATTAAGTCGCAGGAAGTCCGCAATTTACAGTTGACAGAGGCCTTGTTTTTGGCTGCCATAATATGTGCCCGTTATTTGGAGGATAGCCGAACAGAGGTATGATGAGTTACATTCGGGTTATCTGTATACTGTATGGGATACATCCATAGAATGATAGGATAGAATTCATAGAGTAGATGGCTAAGATGCTTAAATTCCCGTCTCAGCTTATACCTCAGAACACAGAGATATTAATATTTAAAGTCCTATGCTGGTTGACAAGAATTCTCGCTCATGCAGTGTACCTTTCTTCTCTTTAGTGAGTAGTATCATAAGTACTATATAATATATTATATACAAAAGAATGTACAGTACAGTATGCAGGAAAGATAGGAATATAAATAGTAAAATACTATTGACATTTCAACCAGCCACTTCCAGTGTTCAAGCCTTTCCTTTCCTTTCAGGCTCTCTTTCGGCAACAGCAAGCAAGCAATACCATATGTTATTATGCGTTTATTTTAGCTCTGTCTGCTGACTTGAGTCAATTTCTATTATTTATTATTATAAATATTATTATTATTTATTATATAATCGCTCTTTTAACGGATTTTACGACGTCCTTACGGTAAATTAACTTTTTAAACCACCCTACTCTAAGTAATAGTAATACAATGTCAGCGTCTTGCTATTAAAATGGTGCAAAGTAAATGATGTGTACCTTCTCAATAATATTTGTGATGGTCGCGGGCACACCGCTGTTTTGCTGGGGATCAGTTCCTAACTCGGGATCCATTTCCATATTTCTTTCACTGATCAAGCCAGTAGGATTTGGTCTCAGATTTCCAAATCGTCTTGTTCTGCTCTTTCCCATCGTGCTACAAAAATCATTCGGCTCTGCGTCCGAAATGTAATAAAAGCGAAAGTGTTCCTACAGTCAGCACACGGCCTACAAACAGGAGACACACCAATCCCACACAATAATGTCCAGAAATGTCCCATACAAAACGTGTTGGGTTGGGTTGTGTACTTCCGTAAGACCAGTGCAAAAAGTTGTATCTGTGTAAATAGCCACTTGCCTTCCCCGCATGTTATCTTCATTTATCTTCTGCGTTCGCTATAAAAGGGCAGTTTGTATAGGATGTTGTATAATACATTTTTAAAAAAAACTTGTCATCCCCTTGTAGGATGCAATTTTTCTTTATTTGAAGCCCCACCCTGGCTTGTGCCGGGGGCCCTGAATATAGCCGGGCATGAATGTGGCCATAACGGCTGGCTGAAAGGGGTTTCTGTGACCTCTCCATGGGTGATCCTTATTCGCATGGCGGCACTTTGTGTCACCAGGCGTTTATCGCTTGTGTGATGTCCTGGTGGGCTACAACAAGCAAGCAAGCAAGGATGTCATGGCTTACAGCTGCTATACATGTGTCTTTCGATTCAACATATCCGATTTTAGCAAACCTTTAGTTTTGTCGCCTTTTGGGGCTTGATTGTTAGGGATCTTCTTCCAGTTATGTCGGCAGTGTGTTTATACGCAAAGAGGGGGGATGGGGCGCTATGATATGTCATATGTGTTAATATATGTTTATCATTTATGGTAATCTGTGTTTACACTCAAATGCATTGTTCATTATTGTTTTCACTTCGCTTAAGCTGTTCTTAAGGCAGTCGGCCCATTTTTCATGGTCCTTTTTTTTCTACGCACGTCTTTTCTGATGCTGAAAAGATATAAAACCAAACGAAAAGTAGATCAGCGAGTTTTACAATATAACAAACAGAAATGGGAAGTGAACACTGCAGCTACAGAGCCTTTCTCAGCACATTGCATATACTTTCTGACGCTGTAAACTTAGTTCATGCGCACACAATCTTGAAAATTCTTCGAGGATATTACTGTGTAGACAATTACATCTTCCACTTGTTTGCCAGACCGTCTTCAACCACATTTTTTCTCCCTAAAATTTATTTTACATTTGCATGTTATCGAACACATTTTAGCACACATCTGAACAAAATATTTAGCAGGTTTTCAGTGTCGTACAATACATGGTTGTTTCCTATCACTAAGTTGTGAGGCTGTCTAGTATTCTCTCCCTATGACCCGGTCAACCCCCCCCCCCCTTCATTTGTTTACACACATACGCGCAAAGCTTTCAAGTTGTCACATTTTTTATAATTAACTTTTTGAGTTCCAAGAAACGCATCATACGTTCATAGGTTCCTACCTAGAAGCCCAATGAACGCATGATGCGCCGATTTTATGACTCTCTTTTCTACCCCCCGGGCCTGTGATGCTAAACCCCCTGGGACTCAAAGAGTTGAAACATTTCTTTGAATTTCTAAAATACACTGTAAGTACTAAGGCGTCTTATTCTCAGGGCTTGCTCCCTGATGTATGAAACTGCGTTTCGGATATCAATCCAGGAGGTTCTTCGTCTAGTTATATATTTTTTTTTTAAATGTATTGAAACATCGTAGGCTACACTTAATTAAAAAAAAAAGGTAAAGTCGGGAGATGTGAACCAGCGTCATTGCACACGGTTATAAACCATAAGTGCTCTGCCACCAGTACGGACAGCTGATAAGAAACTGTCCGCCTGTGTCGCCGTCCGCACGTAACTCTGTAGCTACAGCGACGTTCCTCTATTTACCTAAGAGTGTCACTCCTGGTACTCATTTCCTAGAGGTTGGGTGAACCCCGGGAACCGCCCAGTTTCGAACACCGACCGTGGCTGCAGCGAGTCGCAGCTGGATTTGAAAGCGAGCCTCCTATTGACTGCGCTGAAGCAGCTCTGTTCTTAGTGGTACGTGAGGTGCTATGATATTTATTTGTGGGTGTTATGTTTTCACCATAAGCGTTGCACTTAGTTTGTCTCAGTACGTTGTGGCGACTAGTGGTTCTCCAGCCATTGGCGCTTTCCCAACAACAGACAGCAGCTTTGATTGGTTAATTGTGAATCCTCTTAACTGTGGGTCCTGATTTTCAAATGCAAGACGTTAGCTTTTAGTTGGTCTCAGTTTAGAGAAAAGTTTTGCAGTTCGGAGATATTTCTACCGATTTCATACCAAAGTACTGTATCGAAAGAGATGATACTGCAAAACTTTTCAATCTCATAAAGGCTTACTTGGATGAAGCAAGTCTTTGATTCGTCACAATGCAAGGAGGCTGCCTGGGGTGGCACAATGCGTTGAGGGGTGTACTAGGGAAGAGATCCGAGCAAAAAATCTTTGCGATCTAACAGGCAGTTTTCGAGAAAATGGCCTGCATGTGTGTTTAGGAATTGTTAAACGAACTATAGTAGTAGTTAGTAGTGGTAGTAGCATCAGCCATATTAGTAGCTATTGTTTGTGTTCCTATAAATAATTCGCTTAGCCGTCAGGTTTCAGTTGCAATATAAAGATGTAGTGGCTCCAGACAGTGCAATTGTCGCCATCACCATTATGTGTCGATAAGCATAGTCTGTCATGTTTCTCAAGCTAACAAGATCGCAAGAATCATGGATCTGGTCGGTGTTCTTGTAGTATGTTTGATCTAAGTAAAACCCAGTTTTTCCCTATTTGTCTTTTCCTTGCTGTTTTACCAAAAATATTGCCCGATGTAACCAAGTTCTCGAGTCCATTACTTCTCATAACATATTATAAAATAACATGTTTTACCACTCTGGTTCCAATTAAAACAGAAAAATGTAAAATTGCCAGGTGATTGGGGCTATTAGCACATTTATTCGTAACAAATGCAGATAGGTGTTGTTTCTACGAATATTTTGCAAATAAAAGTTTGTCGTCTGCTATAAGGAGTTTTGACTTTTAGTAATTGCCACCTGTTGGTTTGAAATATGAAACGTGTGATTATCAGTACAGTAGTACTATAATAATCGTCATTCTGTAGACAAATAACACACACAAACTAGCCACTTCGCATGCAACATCTGTAAGGAGTATGCTAGTATATCTCGTTCTTTTCTTATTCTAAAGGCACTTACTTATTCGCGTCCAGTTGTTCCAATTAACGTCATTATTATGTAAAAATATTCCGTGTGCTTTTTTCAAATAGGGGATTTTCCCCCGAAGTCGGCGCACATCTGTCTGAGAGGCAAGGGTGAATAAATGAAGTTCAACCCCAGCAGGAGTGCACAACGAGCGGTAAACACCCATTAACACAAAGTGCTAACATTTGGATAAGGATCAACCGGATACATCTCCCACATACCCTATTCAACAGTTAGGTTATATTAGGGGCCCCGACCACAGCCGGGGTGGGGCTTTAAAATAACGAAAAATTGCGCCACACATTGAGGCGAGATTTTTTAAAAGAGGCAAGGAGCCAATAGTCTGCATATAAATAAGCCAGATCTGTAAAAAGAATGAATGTTCGTTTAGAACTCAAGTTCTGGAACAAGACCAAAGTGCACAAATGGACGAACGACCAGAACTATCTGCCTGCATTAAGAACCGGGGAACGCTAAAATAAAGATGCTGAGTATTATTAGCATTGTTTTAGTGTTAACTTTTCGACACGGAACCAAGCTCAAGCTTATTTCCTAATTATTTCGATCCCAGCTGCCAGCGATCTGGCAAAAGAACATCTCGCAATGGTTTCAGTCGTACCAAGAACAGAAATCAATGGCAAACTACTGAATGTAGCTCAAGGTGATTAATCCCCCTTCCCCCTGGCCAGGTTCTCACACCGCAGTCAACCAGTCCAATTTATGTAGCCCAACTAACACTCAGTAAACTTCATGCCATTGCCACCTTTACTTCCATTACCATTTCCTGATACTAATTTGTAGGCCGTGTTAACATGTGAAGCCAGATATATTTTCTTTTTTTTTTCTTTCTTCTTTGTGTTAGCCAGCTGTAAACTCCAGCGGAAAGTTCTGGTTGTTCATCCACTTCTGGACTTTAGTCTTCTTCCAGAACTTGAGTGTTGTGTGCACATCTTTTTTTTTTTTTTTTAACCTATCTGGCTTTTGTGAATACAGACTGTTGGTTCCTTGCATCTCAGGCAGATGAACCCCAGCTTCAAAGAAAGGAAGACCCTAATTAGTCAACTCTTATGGCATGCTTGTGAGTGAGGCAGTGGGTCTTTTCTTTTTACCCCACAGTGAGGTCCTGGAACCTACATAGGGATAGATAAATTAAAAAAACCAGACAATAGGGAATTCAGACACACACCCCTGACCTCATGGATGGGGGGGGGGGGGGGGGAAGGGGGATAAAGGATACTAACTTTATTTGTGATTCTGGTGATTGTGCAATGGCAAAACATGTGAACTATTTATTGCACTTTTATAGCTCACATAGTAATTGCAGTAGCCCTGTAGTTTGACACCTAATAACCAGTTATACTATCCAAAGAAAGAAACACATAGTTACCCCATGGCGTGTTTTTATTAGTTGACAGGAAAACCTATACACCTAAAAACTGTTGATGACCCAGATGCAGAATAACTGTCAACTTATTGGTTGAAAACTAAGGTATTCTTTTGTACACTTTGAACAATTTCGCTCAGTTAATTACAAAGTTTTTTTAATACCACAGTTTTGACAAAATTATGTTCCTTTTAGTTGCTATATGGTTCTGTGTTTTGTTAGTGAAATTTATTTAAGTGCCATGGAATAACTATACGTTTCAAGTTCTTAACAGTATACAGTATAGTTAATTATTTAGTGACTAGATCATCATCACTGCACATCAAACTCATCAGTCCATAAGTGCTCAGATCCTCTCCTCAATAAATCCAACAGTATATTTTCAAAAACAAAATGAAGGCTAGTTAAATGTGGCAGTAAATGTAAATTTGGGTGCTTAAAATTACTCTATTAACTATCAAGATTTGAAGATCGTAAAAAAATGGAGCCAGTTATCTTGTTCACCTCACCTCCAAATTTTGAAGAACTGTGTGGTGTAACAGTTCTAGTGAAACCATCTGTCCAGCCCCAGCTGGTATCTTTACAACCACACATCACTAAATGTCGGTAAGTTGAAATTGTATAGATATGACAGTTGTACTTGAAAGCGAGCAGTCTCCTTTGTTAGTTTAATCTAGATTCAGAGGTAGGCTGTACCATCAATCTAAGGAATTTCAGATCACTCTACAGCAGTGTTTCCAAACTTTTCTTAGTCGCTGCGCCTTTTTTCAATAAAAAATTCTCCACGGTGCCCTAACCTAAGTAAAAGTATTCGTAAATAAGAGATTAAAAAAAAAATTAAACTCGTGTATCTTTGAATATTTCGCGGCACCCCTGTAAAGAGGTCGCGGCTCCCCGGAGTGATGCCATGCAAAGTTTGGGAATCACTGCTCTACAGTGTTTCATGGACTGTAATATATGACAGCTGTATTTGTGATCTCAGATGAATGTATGTGGTTTTCTTGAAATGTATGCTAGATCATGTATTGTAATAATGTTATAAATATTACATTCATCTGATGTGAGAATAACAAAGCATTTTAAAAAAAAGAAAGAAAGAAAAGATGATGACTTTAAAGATATGGCCAGTGCTATCCACTGAGTGCTAGACTACTTACTGCTCCTCATCACAATGGACAATAAATTATTAAAAGTGGATTTTGAAGATGAATTCTGGTTCAGCATTTTTGGATTATAATTTTAATATCAAGTGTGCAATATTTTCTGTGATATAGAAGACGCACACTAAATACATGTGATGGCAAGACCAGCCTTGAAATCCCATGTCTGAATTGTGGAAGACTTTTCTTAACGCAGACGGGTCTTGATAGTCACACTCGCTATCATCATGACCTGTGATTCCAATGTCTTTTCATAGCACAGTGTAACACTATAATCTGGAAAGATGGAAAGGTGCCGGCTAATACATGTTTTCATGTCTATACCTCTTGTTGTACATGTATAAAGGGGGCTTGACTCACTTTGCCTACAATAACCTCTTCAGAGTATGAGAATGCCCAAAGTCCTGTGATGTCAATTCTGGACTTTTCTTCTTCTTCTTCTTCTTCTGCTTCTTCTGCTTCTTCTTCTTCTTCTTCTTCTTCTTCTTCTTCTTCTTCTTCTTCTTCTTC